ATGCATTATGTAAAGGTACAATTCCCAATGAGAAATGTAATTGTGTTGTATACCTACAATGTACCAATAAAAGAATTTAATACAACAACAAAAAGAAACTATTTCCCCTCTACTCATGAGGCAGGAAATTAGGGTATGGTAGAATGGCTAGGGAAGTAGGCATGACCTATTAATTGGGAAGTTCCAGGACCATGTACAGAGCAGTTCCCAAAGCCCTGCACGCAAGAACTTGAGCAGTTTTGGTTAAGACAGCCTAGACCTGAGGTCAGTCTGAGGAGTGGGAGATACAAAATGAACAGTCGCCCTTAAACTTTCTGCTACTGTGTTCTCTCACAGTAATACATTCACGAGGCAGGGTGTACTTCTTTTCTACTTTTACCTGGCCCAAACTCAGTTTGCAGAGTATGTTTCTTTTTCTACCTTTAATAAATATAAAACCTTGCTACCTTCTGTGCTTATTTTGTCCAACTCTTTGTTCAAGCCAAGAAGACCCTAAAAACCACCTCTGGAAGGAGACTCCATTACCCCCAAACCTGGTAACATTCACAAGATTGTCATCATCTGGTATAGTTTCTTCTTGGCACACTTGTCACAACCAGAAATAATTATCGTCTATTTTCTTTCCCCAGAATGTAAGCTCAAGACCAGCAGCTCTGCACCTAGAACAGTTCCTGACATACTGTTCACTCAGTATACTGAGTAATCAGTATTTTTGGATAAACAAAGTTCACAGTATCTGTTTTGCTCTTTTAAAAGCAACATTTGCAATACATGAAATTTACCTCCTTAACATATTCCCACTTTCTTTTAGGAGTAGTATATAGTGAAAAGTGGGAACTTTTAGCAATATACCAGAACAAACTGTCATATCTGGTCTAAAACTAGTCCTAGCTCTTTCTACAGTGTGGACAGAGGTAGTAATTCATTGTAAAGGGAATCTAATTCTTATTACTTTCCCCCAGACTGGCGTTTCTTTTTCTAACTTCAAATTCATTACATTCTTTTTCAGGATTCTAGACTATTACATAATTCCTTAAATGTCAACTTGATGAAATTTGGCCTTTAACGTTACATCTTTCTCTCTCCTTTGTACTATTGCAAAACATCTTAAAAAGAAACAGATCTACTATCTGGTGCCATGAGACACAGTTCCTGAGACTTGAAGCATGGATTTCTATTCCACCCTCCAAAGAAATAACTGAGTAGGTCTTATTACTTCCTTACTTCCATTCTCCAACTATAAGAATACTCAGTAGGGGGCCGGTGATTTAGCTCAGTGGTTTTACTGCCTGCTGTGCAAGCCCAAGGACCAGAGTAAGAATACTCAGTAGAAGTCAGTGACCTGTAAAGCTTTGTATCAGAGAAGACAGAAGTACTCAACCCTGGCTGGGGGGAATGGAAGACCATCTGGGCAGCAATACAAGCCAAGCCTTCATTGAAATACAATTTAATAATTGTGTTCTCAATTTCTGTTCAGCGCACAGTAGAGGCTTTTGTTCATTATATTACTCAATGTCTTTTATGTAAATAACCAGGCAATATATACTTCCTAGAATTTAGTACAAGGAACAAGACTCAATTTAAGATCAAACTTGGAATTTTTCTTTTTATCAAACAACAAAAACCATGGACTTTTACAGTTGGTAGGGTGGTTAGAAATCAACTAGCCCAGCATTTTCTAAAGGGCATTTTAGGTGTAACAAAGAAAAAGAATTTTATAAGCAAACAAGTTTTTTCTTTCTGTAACTATCTGAGATATAATTCACATATCATGAAATTCATTGAAGTGTATAATTCAGTCATTTTTAGTATATTCAGAGTTTTGCAACTGCCAATTAATTTTAGCACATTTTCATGTTCTAAAGAAACCCTACACTCCCTAGTATCCATTCTCTTTTCCCCCAGCCAACAAGTGTCTTTCTTTACCACAAGAATCCTTCAGTCCAATATTGCAAATCTAATGTGTTTTGTGAATTTATAAAATGGATACAATGTGCCATGTTTCCCAAAGACATTTAATAGCTAATATTTCACTGCTTTCAGTACTATGCTAAATGTTGTATGTCTATTACCTCAATTAATTCTCATAATAAAATCTAGGAGGTACCATATATAAATATGGATATTAAAGAACAAAAAGATTAAGGCTAATTTGCACAAGTGTTCTTAAACACACCAATCTACTACAGTGTATCTCCCACAGAACAGATTAGCTGTGGGATGAGAATGGACAACTAGTAGCTCATGGGCCATACCTTTGTTAAGCGCTTTACTTCAATCTCTGTTAACTTAGTGAGCAAAATGGGGCCCAGAAAGGTAAGCTGAGTTACCCAATAACACAAAGCATTCTTTCTCTTTATTTCTTTGGTTTCTGAGGGCTAACTTACAGATGAATTTCAAACTCAATTACAGTTAACTATTGAATTACAGATTCCTGACTCAATTCTCTCCCTTCTTCAACTGCTTCCCTTTTTTAAAAATCTTCATTCTTAACATTATAGGCTACCTTAAAATTTTACTAGGATTGACTGCTTTTTCTAGATGTATCTACCTGTAAGCAGTGCACTTCACCACTTTTGTAGCACCAATCCCAGCCATCTTGTGATGGCTAGTAGAGTTAGGTGGCATCGCTCAATTTTGCCCCATCCTAGGTAGAAGCCATCTCTCTCCCTCTGTGCACCCACGGCTCTGCATCTCCTCTGAACACTGGCTGCCTTGAATTCGAGCTTCAGTCCTATCCCAACTCCAAGCCTGAGCTCTCCTGGAGGGCAGGAGTTAGCATCCAATCCGAAAGCCCAGCAAGTAAGAGATAGTCATAAGCACGAAGTTTCCTATCCATTCTTGGCTTTATTCCTCGGTCTAGGGAAAGAACACAACTCTCAAGCACGCCAGCTCCAGAGAGCAGGGCTTTCTGATTTTTACGGTCTAGCGCCCCAACTTGTCCATCACACAGGAACCCCGCCAGGCAGTTTTCGGGACCCTCCAACGCTCATGGCCACCGAGGCTGGAACCAAGTGTGGGTCAAGCAAAAAGTAACAGTAACTGGCCGGAACGGTGGTGACCGTGGCGACCATACTCGGCGAAGGCATTCGGACTGCACATAAGGGGGTGAAGGCGGAGCAGGGGGTCCTCATCTGGTGAGTGACACAGCAAGGCCTCCAACCTGGGTCGCTGCCCCCAGGGGTTCAGCAGAGCTTCCTGGGAGAGGGCTAGGGTGGGGAGGGGCCGGGGCCCTCCCTAGTCCTGCCTCGGCACCCCTCCCCCCGGACGGCCCAGACCTCTGGACCCAGGGTCACCGGACGTGGGCCGGGTCTGGGGTCGCGCGCACCCCCGCCCCCTGCCCCCGCGCCATCTTGGAGCGCTGAGGCGGCCACTCCGGACCGCCCGGAACAGCCGCTCCAGCGGTTACTCACCCGCACTGCCCGGAGCAAGGCCCCCGGCTACCTCCGCGACCCCCGCCACGGCCAGCAGAAGCAGCAGCGCGCCTCGCAGGGAGGCCCGGACGATCGCCATGTCCGGGCCAGGCGGGTCAGAAGCTGCGGGATGCTCGGACCCAGCTTGGCCGCCGCAGCCCCTCGCTCCAGGCCCCGCCCCTGGCGCCCCAGGCTTGTGGTGATAGGCTGCAGCTCGCTCAAGCCCCGCCTCCGGTCGCACAAAGTTTCCAAAACCTCCTGGTGGGCGACAACGCGCCTGGGACCCCGGCTCTTTGTTTTGGCCCAGCTGTGTTAGCCTCGGGCAGCGTTCTCCGGGACGCGAGAAGGCCTCTGGGCTGTCAGAGCTGGAGGGATCCTAAGAACGCCTCTGCCCCCTCCTGAGGTTTACACGTGGGGCTGCTGAGAGGAGAGAGGAGACCGACACGCCAAGACCACACTGAAGTTCAGCTGAGACCCAAGGGCTAAGTCAAGGTTGAGCCACGGGCTTCCCCTCTTCTCGTACCCTCAGTGATATTTCAGTATTCCTTCTGCCCGAGTGCTGTTTTAAACCCCAAAGAGGTGGAGTCACCTGCCTTCCCCAAAATCTGAAGAGCTCGACCCTCACACCAGAATCAGAGGCGCAGATTTACATGTAGTTAGGTGCCTTTCCTATATTCTTAACAACTATTTTCGGGAAAAGGGTTGAAGATGCTTGTGTAACTAGATACGGAGAGCCTTGAACGTCAGACTGAGTTCAAACTTTGTTCGAGACAATTCGATTAGGCTGAGAGCCAGCGGGAGAGTCTTGGCCAAGCATGGCCCTGGCTTTGATCCCCAGCACCGAAGGGGGGAAAAAAGGACAATGTGAAAGTGCCCCTTCTCACCACTACAGAAGCTATTGTGGAGAGTGAGTGGGCCCACTAGCAATCAAAACTAATTCATTGTGTGGGTGTGCCTTTTTCTCTCGATATCCCCACCCCCACCCCAACAAATAGCACACCCTTTTTGGAATTACCTTGCTGTTCAGTGATAAAACCAATAGCTTATTACTGGTTTCCTCTGTTTAGACCACTAGAAGCACTTAGCCTTCCCATGGAACAGAGAGCAGCAAAATAATGTAGTGGAAAGTGTAGGGGCTTAACATACTCAAATTCAAACTGCCTCTCCCCCTAACTAGCTCCGGGACTGTGGGCAAAGACATTTAAGTCTCTGTTCTGTTCTTATGTTCTTTCCTATGTTCTTTCCTTTTTATGTTGGCCTTCTTGAGAAGATTAAAGAAGGTACTGTACTTAAAATGTCTAACACAGTACTTGACGGTGTGAATAATGTTACCAATCTCAAGAGATCTTCCTTCTGCCTCGAAAGCGCGAGGTCCCGAGTTCTATCCCCGGTATCAAAAAAAAAAAAAAAGAGAGAGAGAGATCTTCCTTTCTCATGGACCACAGGGCCCACTGGCTGGACTCACTTCCCACCTTGCTCCCTGCTCCTTCTCAAGAAAGAAAGGTCAAAAAGCCTAGACTGTGCGTTATGGTAACAGTATGCATGGCTCTGGCCTGGAAGGTGGTTAGTCCAAACTGAAATGTGCTGAAACCAGATTTTAAAGATAGTATAAAAACAAGAATGAAAAATATATTAAAATCAATTCACCTGTTTTGTTTTACTTTTTTTAAAAAGCCTCTATTTTTTAGAACAGTTTTAGGTCCACAGCAAAATTAAGTAGAGAGTAGAAAAGTCATATACCCGCTACCCTCCATTTACATAGTCTCCCCCTACATCCACTCCGCACACCAGAGGGACATACATGTTAACAATCCATGATCTTACATTGACACATCATCAGCCAAAATCCATATCTTACACAGGGTTCACTTTGGTGTTGTACATGCTAAGGGCTTTGATAAATGTATAATAAAGTGTATCTATCATTATTCCTTTTAACTTTTTAGAATGTGGTGGCTATTAGAAAACTTAAAATTTTACCAGGCATGGTGGTGCACCCCTGTAATCCCAGCACTCAGGAGGCTGAGACAGGAGGATCACTGGTAGTTCGAGAACAACCTGGGTATACATGGTAAGTTCAAGGCCAGCCTGAGCTACATAGTGAGACCTTGTTTCAAAAAAACAAACAAACCTTAAAATTTTGTATAAGGCTTATTTTGGGGGCTCATATTAAATTTCTATTCTAATGTTGGTGTATTGATCTTTCATTTTATAAAAAGGTTAGTGTTTAGAGAGAAGTATAGCATTTCAAAAATTTTACTCTCCAGTAATTTTGTCCTGAGCCAAAAGTCACCTGTCTGTATTTTAGGTAAATAAAATTTAATAACTCATCAAATCTTTTGATTAGTGGTTATCTGGTATATTTCACTTCATGATTTTACTGTTAACTTGTGTCTTTTTTCTTTCTTTCTTTTTTCTGTTTTTCCTTCTGTACTGGATAACTCAGAGCTTGTGCACTAATTTATATCCCCAACTTTTTTTATTTTTTTATTTTGGGACAGGGTCTCACTAAGTCACTAAATTGTCCAGGCTGGACTCAAACTTGGGATTCTCTTGCCTAAGCCTCCCAGAGTGCTGGGATTACAGACATGCACGTCCATTCCTGGCTCTATCTTCATATTAGCGGATTTTTAGTAAAATCATATAGTTGGGTATTTGTTTTTCTTTTTAATCTGATTTGACAATATCAATCTTTTAATTGGAGTATTTAGGCCATTTGGATCTAAAATAATTATTGATATGGTTGAGTTTAAATCTACTCTCTTGGTATTTGTTTTCTGTTTGCTCTATTTCTTTTTTCCATTCTTTCACTTCTTTTCTTGCCTTCTTTTGGAGTAATAAAGTGTTGCTTTTTATGATCTCCTTTTGTCTCTACTATTGGCTCCCTTTTTTTAGCAGTTGCTCTAAGGTTTATCAAATACATTTTAACACATTACAGTATGCGTTCAAATGATCTCATTTCATTTAAAACGTTAAGAATGTGGCAACAGTACTACAAACCTCCATTTCCCCCTTCCCATCTTTGGCACTAATGTGTACATTTTGCTTTCATACATTACTTTTCATTAAACAATTTTTTAAAAGATTATAAAATGACAACTGGTTTTTAAAATTTACCCACATATTAACCATTTCAGATGTTCTTTATTTGTGCAGATCTAGATTTCTCTTCGATATTGTTTTACTACTGCCTGTAGTATTTTCTTTAACCTTCCTCCCTAACCCCCTGTACCATGGATTGAAATCAGGACCTTGTGCTTGCCAGGCAGGTGCAGCACTGCTGAGCTACATCCCCAGCCCAACCTTTTTTTCTTTTAATAATACAGGTATACTGGCAATAAATTGTCTCAGCTTTTGTTAAAAAAAAAAAGCCTTTGTTCTGTCTTCACTTTTAAAAGGCGGGTTGGGTGTGGAGTTTGACGTTATTTTTACTCATTCAACACTTTAATACATTTCCCATTTTCCCCAAGAGTATTTGCTGGTGTCACCTGTAGCTGTAGCCTTTGCCGTGAAATAACGTGGAAATTACAGTTCTAACTCATCCCTAAAGTTATTTTGCATTGCTCTAATATTATCAATAGTCTTTGGAAACAAAAGACATCATTCTGTTTATAGCGTTCTGTTTTTCGTAATGGTCCTTCCATTCATAAAATATAGTCATTCTTGATAGTTGAAAATAAAATGTACATTGGCAGTGAGCTTCACTTTTATTTCTCTAAACAGGAAATGTTAAAAATGTCATTCAACTGTCTTCTAGCTTGCATAAATTTCAAACAGAAAGCTTTCTGTTATTTTCATCGTCACTCTTCTGGGTAATACAGATTATCTTTCTCCCCTGTTTGAAAGTTTCTTTTTGTTTTTGTCTTTGTGGTGCTGGGATATTGTTGCTCACAAACTGGATTTCAGCAATTTGGTTACAATATGTTTTAGTTTTCTTTTTTGTTTATCTTGCTTGGGTTATGTTGAGATTGCAGGACTTATAGATTTGTGCTTCTACTAAATTTGGGAAACTTTCAGCTCTTACTTTCATTAAATTTTTTCGGCATCCCCTGATCTCTTTTCCCTTGATCTCTTCTTTTGGGATTCCCATTAAATGTAGTTTTATTAGTTATTGAGTCTGTCCTTTTCTTTCAACCTTTTTTCTTTTTGTTTTTCATTTGTAGTTTCCGTTGCCATGTCTCCAAGTTCACTGTTCTTTGCATTTGATCTGCTATTAACCATATCCAGTGTATTTTCATTTCAGGTATTATATTTTTCATCTATTGAATTTTCTTTGTCTCTTTATATGTTCATTCTTCTCCACATTATATTCATATTTTCCTTTACAACTTTGGAACATATTTATAATATGTATTAGAGCTATTTTAATGTTTGTCTGATAATTCTATCATTTGTATCTGTTTATATTGATATGTTTCTCCTGATTATATTTCTCCTGCTTCTTTACATGCTGAAAGAATTTTGATTGGATGGCATACATTGTTAATTTTATATTCTGAACACTAAAGTTTTTGTGCGTATTTCTTCAAAGAATATATGTTTTTTAAAAAGACATACAATTACTTGTGGATCAGCTGAGATCACTCATCTGTTTCTTCAGTGTGACCATATTTTCCTTTGCATCTTTAAATATGTGTAAGACAAGAGCTTTAAAGTCCATGTGTGCTAATACCAACATCTGGGTAATCTGGGCAATGATTTCTATTGACTGCTTTTAATCTTAATAATATTTTCTAATTTCTTCACAGTAAAAGTTTTACATTTTGCTGGAACTTGGACATGCTGCTTAGATAAGAGGATGGTCCCCACCCTTAAGCCATGGTTCTGACTGCAGCAGAAAAAATGGAAACTATGGAAATAGAACCAAATGGAAATACTAGACCTATAAAGTACAATATGTGAATTAAACATTTACCACACTGAAAATGTCAAGAGAAAGGATAATTGAACTTGAAGCTAAATCAACAAAAATTAATTGATCTGAAGAACAAGGGGTAAAAGATTAGAAGAAAATGAACATTTCTTCAGTAACTTGTGGAGAACAGTGTTGAGATTTTTGTTATGCCTAATTACAGTCCTAGAAGGACAAGAGAATTAATACAATAGAAAAAAATCAAAAGACTAATAGTTGGTGGATGACATCAACTTTCAGACCCAAAAAAGTTAATGCACCCCAAGAAGGACAAATTTAAAAAAAACTTCAACCTAGACACTTTGTAGTTGAACAAAAACAGAAAACTTAAAATTAGCCACAGAAAAATGACTAACTGCATACAAGAAAACTAAACATTTATATATTTCATACAATAATACATATATAATAATACATTTCATAGAAATAATGAAGATCACTTTTAGCCACCTAGCCCCAAATGCCATCATGTATTGCCTGGAATATTGCAATAGCTTCCTGACTGATAGCTTTTGTTTTACCCTTCATCCCTTACAATCCATTTTCAGTAAAGCAGTTACAGTGATCCCTTCAAATAACTCCATATATGTTGTTGTTCTCTTCAGAACTCTCCAAAGTCTTCCCATCTCACAGAAAATGTCAAATTTATTAAAATGGTTCTCAAGGTCTTACACCCTTGCCTCTTCCTGTTACCTCTTTGACCTCATTTCTTATTATTCCTGCCTCATTCATCCATGAGCTCTAGTTGATCTTGCTCCGTACCTTTAGTTGCTCCTTATATCTCCCACGTCAGGATCCTTGCATTTGTATCCATTTCTTCTAGATAATTTCACAATTCTCCCTCTTCTTTTTAGGTCCTAACTCAAATGGACTTACTTCATTACCCACTTTAAAACTGCAATTCATTCTCACCCCTGCAGTCCTTTTCCCCTTTCACACTTTATTTTTTCAAAAGCTGCTTTACCTTCTAACACACTAGATAGGTTATTATGTATGTGTATTACAATAACATATAAAATATACTATTTGCTTTCCTGATATATTGGTTGTTTATTATCTGTCTCCCTGTTTCATGAGGGGAAAGACATTTATTTCTTTAGGGATTATCATTTCAGTTGAAAGGTAGACAAAGAGGACAGTTCCTAGCTTTAGGATTGAAAAATTAGACATTTGAAATTCCAGGCACAGTAGTTTTAAGAGAAAAAATGTTTAGGAATATCGGAACCTGACCAGAAAGGCTGAGGGCATAAAATATGTGCACGAACACCAGACATGGAAGAAAACTGATTAGTCAGATATATCCCCTCCCACCTTCATCAGGTCCCAACAGTTTTATTCACTCTGATAGAACGAGGAGAACCACTAGACAAGAAGAAGGGGTAGCTTCTAGGGAATGCAGTAGGATGGGAGATAAACCCCCAGGAAGGCTTGAGAATATGAGTTAAGAGGAGGTCTGACCCTTACTTCCCATGAGGAAGTAGGGGAAATGGCAGACCTTACAAAATTCCCCATGCACTCAGCATGGTGCAGGTGTAGAGTAGAAATGGCTACAAGAGTGTTCTGTTCCTTGTTCCCCAAGGAAGAGTAGCTTCATGCTTTCTATGCCTCTTAAGAGAGCCAAGGGAAAAGTTGAGAGAACAGATCCTGAAGAGGCCTCAAGGTCGATCAGAATGAGTGCCTCTAGCTGTTAGTTGTTTGCCATATACTGCTGGACACCAGATGAGAAGACAAGTGTCAACAGGCATTGATGATGACAACTGAGGACCAGATATCCTGCTATCTTCTCCACTCTTGTGTATTGGCTTTGCCTCTATATGCCTTTCAAAGGTAGGGAGGGAGTTTAAGAGTGATCTTGACTAAACTAAAATGTCACTGAACTAAAATTAAGTTTTAGTCAATCAGCAGGAAAGGGATGTGCAGAGTCAACTATCCATTGAAGATTTGAGCACACCTTCTAGAAGTTGTTGCTTTGAAGCCACTGCCCACCAAAAGAATATTTTCCAGTTATGTGTCACGTTTACTGTTAACTTAGTAACAGAATGTGGCCCTTAGACATCAAAGCATTCCTGTGCCTTGGAGCAGAATTGGCAGATCAGACATCCCCACTGACCCCCAGAGAGACCTCTCAGAGGAGGAAGAAAAGCCCTACCCCAAAGCACCCAACACTAACATATTCTGAAATTCAGCATTGTGATTCTCAGCCTGGGAGATACAATACAATATCCTGCAAGTCTCCGTGAGCCTTCTAAAGTTATGAACCTGTATAAAATTGCCCCCCATTGGCTACTCTATTTCATTAATTTTCAAATGTAAAAAGTTATCTTTTATCAATGAGATCCTTTTTCCAACAAAATCTTACATAGTCTTGCTACATAAAACAGGGTGGAAAAACTGTGTTTTATTGCTATATTTATTTTACAAATTCAAATTTGTAACAGTTACTTGGTTCAAGGACAACAAAGAAAAATTCAAGGACAGTGAGATTTTGAAGAATACAAAACTTGAAATCTGGAATTAATTGATAATAATTGCAGTCACCCAAGTATTAGCTTCAATTTATTTCTGGGTTTTTGTTTTTGTTTTTGTTTTTGCAGTGCCAGAGATTGAACTCAGGGCCTTACACTTGTGAGGCAGGCACGGTGCCACTGAGCTAAATCCCCAGCCCTATTTCTGTATTTTTGTTTTGGTTGCATGCTATAGAGAAAATCCTGATATATATACAGATGCAAGGGGTCACAGTTTTTATAGTAGTTTACTTTGCAATCTGAAAAAATGCTTTGAAGTAAGATGGTATTGTGAAAAAAATACTGAAAAATTTTTGTTTCAAGATTGATTCATGAAAACTGTATCCACACAAAAGCTTGCATGCACAGAGAGGTTTATGACAACCGTATTCATAATTGCCAAAACTTGAAACCAACCAAGATGTCCTTCAATATATGCGTGGTTATACTGCTCCACAGATGAACTGTGGAGTATTATTTAGCACTAAAAAGAAACAAGCTATCAAACCATGAAAACACAGGGGGGAAATTTAAATGCATATTACTAAGTATAAGAAGTTGTCTTGGTTACTTTTACATTGCTGGGATAAAATACCTGACATCCACAAGTTAAAGGAGAAAAGGTTTATGTTAGCTCACAGTTTGTGGAGGTTTCAGTTAATAGTCAGCTGGCTCCAAGGCAGGGCACCATGGCAGAGGAGAAACAGATCATGGCATGGTGGGCAGGAATCAGCAAGCCTTCCTTTCCCTTTTTATTCCATCCAGGCTACAGGACTATAGGTTGGTGCCACCCATACCCACAGTGGGTCTTCTCTCTTCAGTAAGTCCATCTACACCCAGCACTATGCTAAACTAATCAGTGGACTAATCCAGTATCATACACTCATGATCCATAATCACACCCATGATCCAGTCACCTCCCAAAAGTCCCACCTATGAGTTCATGAGGCTTTGGGGGGACATCTAGATACAAGCCATTGCAGAAGTCAAACTGTATGATTTCAGTTATGTGAAATTCTGGAAAAGACAAACCTTAAAGGCAGCAACAAGATTAGTGGTTGCCAGGACTTAGGGGGAGGAAGGGATAAATAAACAGAGCACGGGGGATTTTTAGGGTATTGAAATTATTCCATAGAATATTACAGTGCTGGATACATGACCCTATACATGTATAATGATGGGTGGATACATGCAACTATACATTTGTCAAAGACCACAGAATATATAACATCAACAATGAAGGGCCAGGGATTTAGCACGGTGGCACTGTGCCTGCTTTGAAAGCACAAGGTCCTGAGTTCAATCACCAGTACCAAAAAAAGAAAAAAAAAGAATGAAGCCTACTATAAACTATCGGTGTTGGGTGTTAATGATGTGTCAGTGTAGTTCATCAGTTTAACACAAATGTACCATGCTAGTGTAAGATGCTAATAGTGAGAGAAATGTACACATGTGGGGACTGGAGATTTATCTGTACTTTTGCTCAGTTTTGCTATGAACCAAAAATTGCTCTTGAAAATAAATTGTATTAATTTTTTAAATCAAACATTACAAATCAGAAAAAATTGATTCATCAATGAGATTTGAGAACTGCTTATATACCTAGTAGATGTAAAGTCAGAGAAGTAGTGATCAAAACTTATGGTTCATGCTGATACTATTTATAATGACATTACTTCTGCATGATGTGTTCCCTTGTTATGGTGCACTTGGCTAGGACACCATAATGAGAATGTGCTCCAAGCAGTTGGTTTTGAGCCTTACCCAATACTTAATTGAGAACAGTGCATATGTGTACTTCCTTGCATAATTTAATGTGACTGATATGCATGGGCTTGGATTTTCTAATAAGGACACCCTCAAGATAAAACAAATGCCCAGAGATGACAGGAAAATATTTATTCCACAGTTCCATAAGAGTGAGTCAATTTGATAGCATACCCACTCATGTGATGATGATGACCTCTAGTATGTAAAAACTTGAAACACAACAAGTTTGCATGTATCCATTGTCTTAATACATATTAAATGGCCAGACACAGTGGCAAATGCCTGTAATCCCAGTGCTCTGGGAGGCCAAGGCAGGAGGATCTCAAGTTTGAGCCCAACCTAGGCAATTTACCAACTTGGCAAGATCTTGTCTCAAAAATTAAAAAAAAAAAAAGAAAGAAAGAAAGAAAAGAAAAAAGGCTGGAGAATATAGCTCAGTGCAAAGGCATTGGGTTCAATCCCTAGATGTATGTATAACATATTTATTTTAATTCTGATATCCTCTTTCTCCTTCAAAACAATGAATCGCACCATCTTCCACAGCTGGCATAAATATGACATTCTGTTCTTTTTTAGCTTTTTGTGTTTAGCTCTAATCCAGCTGAGGTTTATGGCAGCATATGGTGTGATGTATAGATCAAAGGCAAACTTTCATTCAACTGAATGTTGTGCCAGTTCCACTATTTATTAAAAAGTGATTCTTTTCTTTTTTTCTTTCTTTTTTTTTTTTTTTTTGGTACCTGGGATCGAACTCGGGTCCTTCCGCTTGCAAGGCAGGCAGCAGAACCACTGAGCTAAATCCCCAGCCCCGAAAGTGATTCTTTATATTACTAATTTGATCTGCCATGTATGTATTAAATTCTTATAGTTTGAATTCATTTTCTGGTATCGTTGATACTATTGATTTTTAAAAATCAGTAGTAGTGGGGATTGAAGCCAGCAGCGCCTTTGTACTGAACTATATCCCAGGCTCTTTTTATTTTTTATTTTGAGATAAGGTTTTGGTAAATTGCCCAGGCTGGCCTTGAATTTGCAATCTTCCTGTCTCAGCCTCCCACGGTACTGGGATTACAGGCTTGAGTCACCACATCTTTAAGTTTATGAAACTCAGGGCCGAGGATTTAGCTCAGTGGTTCTGCCACCTGCCTTGCAAGCGGAAGGACCCGAGTTCGATCTCCGGTACCAAAAAAAAAAAAAAAGTTTATGAAACTTTCAAACACCAATGATTCAGTAATTGTTACTTTGTAAATAAATTCAAATATGGTAGGAATAACAGTATTACCTTCAAAAGATCCTTGTATTGTTCAATTATACTTCACTAGCAAATTATGTATGTCAGAAGAGTCTTTGGGGAATTTTAAATACCACATAACTATGGTGGTGCACACCTGTGATCCCAGCACTCAGGAGGCTGAGGCAGGAGGATTGACTTGAGTTCAAGGCCAGCCTAGGATACATAGTGAGTTCAGAGACAGCCTGAAGTACAATAGCAAAACTCTATCTCAAAAAACAAAACAGCAAACAAAACCTGTGTTTATAGGGCCAGATTTCCTATCAGCTACTGCAGACATGATTAAATTTGAATCTCTGAGGATAAAACCAAGGAATATGTATGGTTAAGAAGCCGTTTTGTTTTATGCTTTGTTTTTTACAGTTTGAGAGCTTCCACCTTAGGAATTAGGGAAATTACAGAAGT